CCTTCTCCACTAGTTGAGTCTTCATATTCTATGTTTTCTTTAGAAAATTCTTTAATGATATTACATCATGTATTTTCCTTTGTGTTTGAATAGTCTCATCTATTGAAATTATACTATAAATTGATTCATTGTCACTAATATTTTCGTCTATAAGTATCAAGTCTTCATTTACGCATTCAACTATATAATTATTTTGTCTTTTTGGGCAAGTTCTAGCTAAGTGTTCAGTACTATTACAAACAAAATAGTTAAGTTTGTTTTTTATAATTTCTTTTTGGTTTGAATTTTCTAACATGTCTTTTTTCATCTAAATATGGTTTTCTTATATTAAATTTTCTTAAATAATATATATTTTTTTGTAATTTTCCTTGTACTTTACATAATTATTTCTTCTCTGTGGTTTGTTACTTGATCCTTAAGTTTTAGGTGTATATATTTCACTACAAAGTTTGTAATCAGTCTAATTTAGTTGTTTTTGTATTTGTAGATCTACGTATTTTTCTTCTAAGAATTTTATTATAAATTAAGCTCTTTGTGTTGGTCCATAAATTGGTTGGATTATTTTTAACCTCTTGCAATTCATTCCATTTTGTATGAATTTCTAATCTTAATGGTCCATGTAATTTATGAAATAACTTTTCTCCTATTTATTTGTTAAAAGTATTTACTGCAATAGTAGTTAGATAAACATAATTGTTTATAATTTTTTTAACATATAAACCACTAGTCCATTTTTTAAACTCAATTGTTGTAAGTCTTGCATGTCCTTTTTCTGGACTTCTATATGTCCTAAATTTGGATCTGCTCCAGTTATTAAAGCATGTATTTTGTTAACAAAAGTATGTGGATTACTTTCTAAATTTCTTAATTTTATATATTATTTTGTTTGTTCATTTTTATAGGCTTCTCATATTGCTTTTACACTTTCTCATAAAAATGTTTCTAAATACTTATATATTTCTTCTGATTCTAATTCTTAAAAATTTCTATAATAATTTCTTATTAGAGTAATTTTCCAAACATCTATAACATTTAACCATCTTTGTGGATCATGTGTTGTTAAATTTAAAATAGACCATTTATGGTTTGCTTGAAACGTTACAGGTTGTTTTAAGGGGTTTTCTGTCCCTTTTGCTACATATTCAAAATATTTCAGTGGATTGTTATATTTAAAATAAGGTGTTCCTGATATAAAGTCGTAATAATTAAAATGTGCTTTTATTTCATATTTATTACAAGGAGTGTGTCCTGATGAAAAATAACTGGCACTAGCTTCTTCTTTTGTTTCTATATTTGCTAATTCTTTTTGATAACTTATTCTAAAATATTTGATTTATTATCAGAAAATGTTAATTGTACTTCTATTATGTTATTTTCTTTTAAAACAATATTTCCTTTATTATCATATTTTAAATATTCATTTTCACTTGGTTTTTTATTTAAAAACATTTGATCTTTTATTAGAAGAAGTTCTTATTTATTTAATTTAATTTTTAATTCTATGGGAAATATAATTTTTTGTTCATTTTTTTTTGTATTTATATATCGACAAAATTACTTTTTGTTTATGTTTCTATTTCTTTAAATTCTTGATTAGGAATTGAGTTGTAATTTGAAAATCTTAAGCTTGTTTTTCCTAACCTATTTGTATATGTTATTGCTTCACCTGGTACTATAGTAGGTGAATTATCAGAAACAAAATTACTAATATCCCATTCGAATCAAGCTAAGAGTTTAAGTGGAAAATTTTGGGTTTTACCATTTGAATACGTTTACTACTTATTAAAGTACTACTTTATCCGTAAAGATTTTATATTTTGTAGTGGATGTGGGTGAACATCTTAAAATTCCTAAAGTTGTTAGTAACTTCTACAAATTCAACTTCTTCATATCCTTTTGTTTGAATTCTTAACTTTATATATTTATAAAAACCTTTGATTGTTATTAAAAAAAATTGGGCTACAATATATTTTGCATCTATTACTATTTATATCTACTTTTGTGCTAGTAATCATAATGCTATATCTTTAATTCTATTATTGAATAAGATAATAAGAACTTTGCAACCTAAATTTTTTCTCATTAATCATTTAATTCTTATAACTATTATTCCTAAATAGATAAATTTATATTTTATTTGTTTTAAATTATATCTCCTTTTTTGGAGATTATTTCTAATATTTTAATCTGGTCTTTTATGCATTGAATAGTGGTTTCATAACCATTTCTATAAAATTGAGTATTATTTTCAAAATATCCTTTATTATATAAAATTTTTAGTTTTAATAATTGTAAACCATGAGTTTGAAATCTATTGCAATCTTGTTCAAGATCAATTAATTCTTCTAAATTAACATCATATTCTTCGCGTTTACTTCTTATTCTATTTATAATATTTTTAGAAGCTATATTCAAACTTTTTCAAAATGATTATGCCATTAATCTTTTATTGTAATACAAAAACTAAAAGGTTATGGTTTTTCGGTTTTAATAGTTTTTCTTGTTATTCTTTCAAATTCTGTTGGTTTTAATGATAAAGATTGTATTTATTCTGTTAATATTTTAATATCATCTTTTATTTCGCCTGATTCTGTAAAGTTTTTATCTTCTATTTAAAATGAAATTGTTTTATCTAATACAGTTTTATTTTGATCTTTAACATAATCTATTTTTTTTATCTTAAGTATTGATTTCTTTATAAAGTCAAGCTAAATTAATTTGAATCTTTTCAATTTATTTTTTTTTCTAAATTATCTGCAAATATTAATAAGTATATTATTGTATTTAAACAATGATCTATAGAATTAAATAGAGCTGATAAAAATCGACACGATCCGCGAACCGAACCCAAAATTAGTTGGTTAGGTTGAGATTTTCAACCCATTTAACTTAAATGGGTCAACCCATCTGATGCAACATCGACCTCCGGCGGGTCTTCTGGTCTTCTGCTGCGGCGGAGATCTGGATATCACAGTGCAAACCCGCTAGAGTCATCCCAGGGACTGTGCCTCAGGAGCGGACTCCGACGATCAAGTTAGATCAGCTAGAATATCTGAAATGGTCCTCCATAGCTGGAGAGAACCATCTTGGTGCTAGTGGTGGTATATGGTGGTTGACGGCGGCGGGTGGCGGCTGAGCCACCCGACCGGAGTATAGTGGCGGCTGAGCCATGGGGAAGCTCTCGGGAATGATCCTAGGAAAAGTCCCCCTTCATGGAGGAGACATTATTCATTATATAGGGGACAACTAGGTAAAGGGGAATTAGGGCAGGGCTTGGGCCTTCCTAATTCAGGCCCAACTAGCAAGGAGCTGGGCAATGTCGCCCGGAGGCGTCGGGCGGGACTGGCGGGCGCACACCAGGAAGGGATGGCAAGGGAGTGTCAGGCGAGGGAGCGTCTGGCCATGCTGACAGGAGAGTCTCTAGTAGGGCTAGCAAGGGAGTCCCCAGCAAGGCTCGCAAGGGAACGCCAGGCAGGGCTGACAGGAGCGCGTCAGGTCAGGCTGGTGCGCTGGAGCAGTCTAGGCCATGTCAATGAACCATATATCATCACCATCCAACCCATTTAATTAAATAGGTTAGGTGATAAAAATTATCAACCCGTCAATCCATATATATATATATATATATATATATATATATATATATATATATATATATATATATATATATATATACTACCTTAGAAAAGAAATCTTACTATTTCTATAAATAGAATCAATATAATAATAATATTTTTTTTAAACGTTCAAGTCTTTAAGCTTAAAGTACAACCAATTATTAATATAATAATATTATAATATATATCTTACAAATGATAATGCAAGGGATACAAGTATTAAAAACACATTTAAATTAATATTTCCTTATTTTTAGGGATTGAATTAGTATTTAATCAATTTTGAACCAAGTTGTACTCCTAAAATATCTCTTCTCTAGTATCTGGTGTATTTGAAATCTGAAACACTTCTTTTCGATAAATCGTTTGAAATTTAAAAGTTCATTCAAATTGGAGTTCTCTAATTTTTTGCATAAAATATAGTTGACTGTAGACTAATTCAAATCTTCATCTCCTTTGCCTCCATGAAATCCACCACCACAATATTTTCTGGTTTTGGCATTGCACTTTTTATTTTTGTGAAACCGATCGATAATAGTGCAAGTGTTCTTAGAAATATAACATATCTCCAAATGAAACTAATTGCTTGAAAGAAACTATTCGCCATCGCCGTTTTGCGTGGGCAAACGGCTAGTAAAAGTTCATTTATTTAAAATGTTGGGTTGGATTTGAAATATCAACCTATCTAAAATAAACAGGTTGAGTTTGATTGAGATTTTCAACACAATTATTAAATGGGTTGAACCCAAACCCAAACCCAACCCCAACCCAGGACGGTGAATAGCCACCTCTAGAATTAAAACTATGTTAGATGATCTTTATCAAAATTACACCTAATTTCATCTTTTATCAGTAATAAGAAGAGATCTTTTAGAACAAATGTTGAGTTCTAATCGTAAGTATTCTAATCTTTTACTAGTAATTGGATCTAGATTATCTTCAAAATTGGTTGATGATATGTTCCGTTGCGTATAAAATTGATTGGGAATATGTTTTACCAATGTAAACCGTTCCGAGGGTGTTAAATGTAATGCTAAAAAGATCAAATGTAAGGGTCAAACTAATTTTTGACATCCTAGCGAGTATGAGGAAGACAAGATATGAAACCCATGAATTCCAATACTAGGTGAGTGTATGTCGATGACATGGTACAAAGCTTCTAGAAGAGACTTGGATCTTGTATCAGAAGATAATTCTATAATGCCACGTCATTTGTCTTTCTTTGTAAAGAATGCTACACTCCATGTTCCGGATATATTGAATGGTGCCATATATATAATCCACGACCATGACCTATACATCAAAAAGTAGAGGGGTAAAAATATAATAACCTAATAAGCAAATATTTAATTACACTCTTGTTTATGTCTCAAAAGTTACCAATTAAGAAGGCTTTTTCTTTAGACTCTGTTTTGAGATGCGCCTTAGAATCTGTGTGCCCTTTCTCATTTCTCTGCAACATCATATTATAATTGTATTATTATATATAGACTATCTATAGTGTGTAATAAATAATAAATACCAAACAGAAGAAATATATGTGAAGTGATGTGAGCACCTTTGGTACAGATATACAATGAGATAGAAAATTGGGAGCAACATCAAAATCAATATCGATATAGCAAAGTAAAAGATGTTGGTATGCTTCTGCAAACAAAACATATATAAGTCATCATCATTTCACATTTATATCAACAAGTCATAATAAAACTCATTTCACACATTAAAAGAAAAAAAAAAAAAAAAGTGAATCTTCTTTACCTTGCCTCCTCTAGAAAAGGGCTTAATGCGGCCTGAACAAGTATGTGCATCACAAAATTGGCGTAAAAATAGTTCTGCAAACAGTTGGAATTCGAAAATTCTCCTTCAATGTTATGATTTATATAAACTTTATAATTTATAATTTATAAACATCAAATTTTACCATGAAGTCGGCCTGCTGATGGACCCTGATGTACAGGAAAACAGCTGTCTGCAAGACTCTGCAATTAAATAAAATATTATTTTAAAATATAAAACTTTGTAACAATTTTGAATATATATATATATATATATATATATATATATATATATATATATATGTAATATGATAGCAGATAACCTCGCATAAGTGGCGATTTCTTGCTGCAGCTGCAGGATTGCACTTTGATTTAGGAACAACAGAATTTATTACATGATCACAGTGCAATGCACCACATAATTCTGCCAAGCAATTGCCCTCACTCTGAAATTTAAAGAATATATATTATATTTAAAACTTCCATAAAACAATATTATTATATATAAAAATAAAAATGGTGAAATTGATTTGATTGCACATACAACATTTAGAAGATTGTAGTGTCTGTTGTCAAAATGTTGATCAAGAAATTTCTCTGCTCGGAAGCTTTTCTTACAGTATCCACAACGCCATTCATTTACATCCACATGAATCTTGTGATCTTCTTGATCTCTAAATATGTCATTTCCAGGATGAAGCTTACACTTACGTGACATTTGGTAATTCTCTTGTTCAACAAATGGAATCAAATACTGCATGATTTAAACGACATTTGTTTAGGGTTTGATGCATAATAATTGGTGCTTAAAACTGTGACTATTGAACATGAATGATGAATATCAATTGCTAATAGAGTAATAGTAATACCTCCTCAATAATATTGTATGCAGCTCTACTTCTTTCTCTGGAACAATGAACTTCTTGAGCATGTTCTTCTGAACTCTAGTGCAAAAGCAATTGTTAGAAAATATATGGCAGTAGTATTCACGACTTGTCTCAAACAAGAGAAAGAAACAAGTATCCATCATCCTACTGACGGATTTTATCCTTCCACTGAAAAGATAATAACTTTAACTTGTAAAAATTTAAGAGAGAGAAAAATCTTTTTGTTTCCTCCTTCCTTCAATTCAGGCGCAATAAGTCTTCCACACTTTTAAAGGTGAACATGGGCATTTGCAAACCTTCATTGCGACAATCAATTGCTCATCAATTTTGAATAATATTGTTTGATTTGATATTTCATCAGAAGTTAAACCCTTCCCCGAGGTGGTTTTTTCTTGGCAAAAATCGAACAAAAGTTCCGTCTCCAGCCTTCTTTTTACATGTCGGATTAGTAACGCCGCTGGAAGAGGACGATGATCCATTCCCATTTGTTGAGTCAATTTAATGACAATATATTCAAGTTTAACAGAAATCAGACATCACAGAGATGGATTCAAGTCGAGAGTGGGATAGAAGGAGCAGCGCCGAAGGAAACAAAAAGGATATTTCTCTCGTGCATCGTTTGGAAACAAGAAGAAATGAAGAATGATATTTCCTTATTCAGGGGTATAATTGTCAATGTATTATTTTTCAGTGGAAGGATAAAACCCTTCCAGTGGAAAAATCAAGACCCTTTCTCACCAAACTTGTTGGAGGTATGATTTCTTTTCTTTCTATCATATTCATAGATACCAAGAATCAACACCATAATCTTGAAGGTGCCCAAAGTTCATAAATTTCAAATAGTTATCACCAGAACAATATAATCCACAAACTCTCATGTCATTAAGTCTCTGTAATTGGTTTTTAACCGAACATAACCCTAATTGATCAGGTTGATACCTATCTTGATATTTCTAATTCTAATGAGGCAAATGACTCGTAAAATATCTACAAAAACTAAACAAATCAGTTACTAATTCCGACATTACAGATCCATGAAACACAAATCAAATTAGTTTACTCACAGCGTCGGAAGAAGCGTAAATGGTCGAAACCAAGCAACCAATCAATAGAAAACAACACAACTGCAAAGAAGACATCTTCCTTCTGTTTTCCTCCATAACCTAACAATCAAATTCCACAAGCAACGCTTCTGATCTGAATCGATTTCAGTTGATTTAGGGAATCAGCATAAAGAAAGAGACTGCGCTCTTCGTTTAGTGTAGTTTATATTGTGAATACTTATATGTAGATCTGACGAGGAGTTGTGTCGAGTTGGTGCGACCAATGATATCGCAAGCCACTTAGAAACTGCCAATGGAAGATTGACACGTAGGATCTTAAAGCATGGTTCGATTGTCTGCGGTGAAGTTTGAGATGAACGGCTATGATTCGTGGATTCTCAATTCACCCGTTGACTGTGTCACCGTTCAACACAGGTCATTTTATTGGCAACACCTCCTTCGTTCTGTTGACAATTTTATTCATTACCTATATTTTGTGTACATACCAAAATTTTGTTAAAATCATCTGTCACATTATAATTCTGATTATCAACTTTTATTTTTTTATTATTAATCTGTAAATTTAATGTATACTTTTTACTTTCAACATATTAGATTGATTTTTTTAATTGTTATCATATTTATAAAAGTTATGAAAAACAAAAACATAATTGATGTAAACTATTTTTTTCATAACTAATTCATTACGATTCTATAGCAAAATTGGTCATCAAATTCAACACGATGGTCTGCCTTACATAGTTGACCAACACTGATGAGATTGTGTTTAAGGCCTTCTATATAATCAATCTTTTGAATAGAGAAGTTTCCCATAGTAAGAACACCATAACCTCGAATTATCCCATTCGTATTGTTCCCGAATGTGACATTTTCACCGTTGCTAATTGGCCTGAAATCTCGAAGATATTCTAACCTTCCTGTCATGTGCAAGGAGCAGACACTGTCGATTAACCATTCTTCTTTAAGTTCCTCCTTGCACAAGGCTTGTTCGATGATGCTTAGTGTTCCATCTTTTGTCATGTAGCAGTAGTTCTTTTCCAGCTTTGTAGACTCATCATCATCAACAGTTGTTAGCATGCAGATTTTGCATTTTCCTTTGATATTGCTGATGGCTTCTTCTTCATCTCCGGATGAACAAACCTGATGGTCTCTTTTAACATGGGCCACGTATTCCCTAGCATTTTCCTTTTCCTCCAATTCTTGAGCCATTCTAAGGTAGAATGCTCTGTCTTTCACCACATTTGCATTGTAATCTTTTGCAAAATGATTCTTTTTGTTGCACTTGTGACATATCACAACATCACTTTTGTCTTCTGAGGGAGTATCGGAGTTAGTGGCTTGAATGGACTGCGATGCCTCCTTCGGTTGAGTATTTTGAGATTGCGGTGGTGGGTGATAATTTTTGGGATAACGAGAGTGATTATTTTGTGGGTTGAAGTTACGGTTGAATGGAGGTTTGTTGAATTGTTGATTTTTACGAAAAGAAGGTGGCAGCCAGTTGAACTGTTGACTAACAAGAGCAATAGCCTTCTGAAATTCTTCTTCATCATCATACCCTGAGTCGGCTTCGTATGACTGCGGTGGAGTGTTATATGAGGGATAGTAGGATTTATTATGTGGGGCTTGTGCTATAAGTGCAAGTGGTCCTCCGAAATCAGCATAGTCTTTGAGTACGGTGGATTCTTGTGCTTGTAGTTCCCTGTAGAGCTTGTAGAGAGACACATAATGAATCTTTCTATCTCCTTGAACTCTCATCTTAGCAGTAGTCCAATGTCTTCCCAAACCGTTGAGAAATTGAAGGTTTGTTTCATGGTTACTGTGGATGGTGCCAGCATTCGATAACTTGGTGACTATCAGATTGAACCTTTTAAAAGAGTCTTCTAAACTTTCGCATGTACGAACTTTGAAGTTGTTGAATTCATTGAGTGCAGTTGTGAGCTTCTTATCTTGAGCTTGTTCTGAGCCTGCGTACAAATTCTTGAGAACTTCCCAGATCTCTTTTGCTGATTTGTAATTTATGATGATGTTGAAGTTGTCAGGAGCAACTCCAAAAGATATTTCATAAAAAGCAACAACATCATTTTCCATTTTATCGAGATCATCTTTGGTGGGACGGTTCAAGACTGGTTGTCCTCCTCCTAGTTTGGCTGTGGCACCATCAGTTTGAACTGGTGTAAGAACAGGGACATGTGGTCCTTCTTCTACGGACCACCATCCCTCTCTACCGAGTATCCTTAAGTATCTTTCCATTCTCTGAGACCAATGATGATATTCATTTACCACCAATATTGGAGATCGATTTCAACCACCAACACTGTTGGAAACATTCAGAGATATTGCTTGTGCCATTTTTCCTTGTTTTTTTTTTGTTATTTTTTAAGAAATGAGCTTCAGTGGTATAGAAGGCCCTTTGAAAATCAGATTTTTGTTTTTTTCAAAAAGCAACCACTATGGCTCTGATACCAATTGTTGAGAGAAAAACTTGAGACACACTTGAACAAACGTTAGAACAAGTCTTGCGGAATAGTTTATCTCAAAGGATCATAAAGCTCAACAATAATAATAAGTTAGAGTTAGATAATTAGAAAGTTAGTTATGGAAATGTAAAGAAATATAAATGACAGCAGGTGATATATCAAGTAGACACATAAGTTGATTCATAACATGGAATGCATTCAGACCAAGTTAGTGAGTGAGATCAAGCTTAGTGATAAAGTCACGAATGACTTGCTCTGAGGAGAAGTAATAATCAGTTATGTTCTAGAGAACTTTGAGAGTAAGAAGAGTAAGAAGAGATCCATAATTGAGAGATGTAATTGATAGTCTTGAAGGTTGTTCAGATCTTATAACTGAGAAAGAATGAGCTCTATATATAGAGACTCAAGAATTACACTGGATCAAATCTCTAAGAGTAGCCATGCAAGGCATACTGGACAATAGAGAGTATTACAGAAAAGTAGATAAAGTTAAGCTAAGTAAAGAATAAGTAAGATTGCGGTTTGATGATGACTTCGGATGAGGTTGCTGAGGAGGGTTTGACTGCGGATCCTTGAGGGCTGCGGTAGACGAAGTTTAAGAGGGTCACTTCCATGATTCAACAATTTCCCCCTAAGTGACCTCTTTAACTTTTCTTCACTTATCAAGTTTTAGGAACTTGATCAGAATCCACCAAAACTTTTTGATATTTTCCAACCAGGTGATCCTTCTTAATATCTCGAACTTGACTTCGGCAGTCGTGTGTTTTGATTTTTCTACTGCGGTTCAAAAGATTTCAAGTTGCTTCCTTGTAAGACGATTCATGGAGGTCATGGGAATGAAGTATTTGATCTTATCGACCTTCCTTTTGAAAATGACTCCAAGTTCAGGGAAGTTTGTTGCACCTAGGGATTTCTCTTGATAATCTTCGGTAGGAATCGGTGCAGGATCCAGTAGAGGTAGATTAAACTTCTTTGCCAGAACCGGGTGAACTTGTGCATCAATTTTGGCGAAGTAGCAGAGAGTTTCCTTCAGAAATGTGTTTGCCCTTTCAAGTGCTATTTTCATATTTGGATACTTCTCGCATTTGTTTTGGAACACCTTTGCTATTAGAAAGACTTCTTCTGGATTCATACATGGGAAGTCAGCTTGGGTGCAGACATAGTCCTGATTCCTTCTTGTTAGAGTGTATTGAATGAAGTCAGCTTTCATGAATTTCCGGGGCTTGAAGTTCTTGATTGCGGATGGTCTGTCATTAGACCAGATTTTCTCTATGGAAGAGACATGTTTGGCATGGAATCGATCGAGTCTCTCGAATTCCATGGGCAGTCTTTTGTGATCCGGTAGGCTACTGTCAAAGGGCTCCAATACAGTGAAGTAGTTGGCATTTGGAGAGATTGGAACATCCCAGTAACCATCTGAGGGAGGTTCAACATAGGTAAGGTAAGGTTTGTAGTCATCATATAGTAGTCTGTGGTGGGGGTTAATCCAAGAATTGATCAAGGATTCATGCAAGTGATGTCTAAACTGTTTTCTCTCAGGATGAGTTCAACAAATTTGGCTGCTTTCCAATCTTCTTTCTTCTGTTTCGTTGTGGGAGAGTCGTTGGAGTGTTCGGATGACATATTGGATGCTATATTCTTGAAGTGAGGAGGAGTCTCAGTTCGTTCATTAGAAGGAACGATTTTCTAGGTGGAGGAGACTGATGGCTTGGACTCTTGTGAGGAGATGGTTGCAGTGACGGTTGCGGTGAAGGAATTTTCTCTGTTATGATGGGGGGGGGGGCTTCTATGATGAGGAATGTTGTTTGAGTGATGGTCTTCTTCACTTCCCCCTCTTGAGGAATTCAGACCTAGAGCTTCCTCAAGCCATTGTTTGAGACCATCGACCTTGGCACACACCTCCTGAAATTGAGCTTTAAGAACATCAGCCAATTGTTGATCGACTGGGATGAAGGTGTATAAAAAAAGTCAATGAATCTCCTTTGTGAGTTGTAGATTTTTAGGGCCATTAAAATTAGACGATAAGGATCGTTGAAGTTTGTTGATGGTTGAATGAAGGACTGAGATAGTGGAATCATATGTAGTGTGAGTCTCAGCTATCAGTTTCTGTGAGAGAGTGGACTGGTCCGTAATGGCTGTTGTAAATTTTCCTTGATTGCGGATACCTCATAGATGAGGCGCTCCGCATCAGCCATGAATTGCTTGTGATCAGCTTGGCAACTTGTATCCACGGATCGGATTCCCATTTCAACTTTTAGAGATATTCTCTCAGCAGCCAGTCTTTCACAGGTTTCCAGTCTTTCAATTCTTTCAATTAAGGATTGTTGTATTGGATGGTCTTCAGATTGCGGTTGAGTGGACTTGACCGCAACAAGAATTTGATCTACTTTGGACTGTAGACTCAAAAATTCTTTTCTAGACACAACCTTCTTCTTCTTCTTTTTCTCCTTGGTCTTGGAGGTTGAGTGCTGAGAACCACTCGATTCCTCTTCCTCATCAAACATCATCAGATCATCATCGGAAGGGTTAGGCTGATTTACCTCATTCAGATCATAATCATCAAATCCGAAGGTTGGAGCGGAGCTAACTTCTATTGCAGTTCCTTTGTATTGAGAATCTCTAGCAGTTGGAGTTGGAGCTGGAGGGAGTTTAGACGTACCTTCACCACCATGAGTGGACTGAGCCGTGCGGATCGTATTGGCGATTTCGTCCATGAAATCTTGTACTTTCAAAATGGTGGATACGGTATGGGCATTATTGATTGCATCCGCCCAGTATTTGGCTACAGATTGAATCTCCAGTTGTTTCTGTTGTAGCTGCTTTGTTTGACGAGCCTTTCTTGCTTGAAATGCCATACGGAAAGCGGCATATTTCTTTTCTTCGGCTTTATTGGTTGGTTGATACTTACTCCATGAGTCATTAAGATCGATGTCGTCAATTCCTTGGAATCGCACCGAGGTGTCCCTCGAGTTCACGGATCCTTGCACATTTGTGATCATCATGCCTAAACCACCTGTAACAGATGTAAGCAGAGTAGGATTTCCTGAGCTTCCTCGGTCTCCTTGACCCGTGGTCAAGTCTGGCCTCGGCTCAGTTCTGGGAAGGGCTGAAGAATTGCCCTGCAGTTGGGAAGGTGTTTGAAGTGTTTGGGTTACAGACAAAAGGATGGATTTCAACTCCTCAGGGGAAAAGAAATGTAGATGGGAAGCCCTGGAGACCTTAGGGCGGGAACCAGTTCCATCCCCTTGGGAGTGAGCAAGGGGTGAGTCTCCATGTTGCGGTGAAATAGACACACTTTCTGTGTTTGAGTGGTATTCGATAGTGGTATTGGATAGTTGTGCGGCCACCCCAAGGACTACTGGAGCCTTTTAAGAGGTTGCAGCATCAGTCCGATCACGCATTTGGTCTGTGGGATTGGTTTTTCTTTTCTTGAGGATCGAGATGGGT